TGCTGCTTCTGGTGAGGTTACTCATTATTTCTGTCTAAGCCATCTGCTCTTTTTATTTGAGCACACAAATATAGAAAGGTGTGGAATTGGACCTAAGTGTAGATATGACTATACTCAAACATCTGTCTTTCATTTAGTTGTTTATACCATATTCCATCACTCATTTAACAATCATTTAATAGGCATTCAAGACCCTGTGGAGACAAAAAGATGATCAGAACACAGTCCTTTTCCTACTTTTGCTTTTTCCTATCTGCCTTTTGGCCCCTCCACTATCCCTTTGGATAGTTGATAGGTCAAATTGTACCTTGCTAGAAATTCTACTCCCACTGTTTGGTGGTGGAGGGAGCTCAACAGCTGATTAAATTTGGGCATTGGTATCTGCTGAAAATCTCTCTATAATTAATCCCAGTTGTTAGTAGTCGGGGAATCTAATTTAGACTTTAAACAAAAGCTTACAAAGAAGCATGGAGAAATTCCTGAAGTTAAAGACAATAGATTGGGTTTCCATAACCATATGCTGAAGTTGTAATGTGAATGTCCACATCATTGTACCCTCACATCCCCAAATAAGAAGCAATCTAACTATTCCTAAATTCATTGTTTTTTTTTTTTCTTGTATGTGTGAATGATAGTGTTGAAGAGAGAACAGAATAGTTTAGATGTTGGGAGCCTTTGTAAGTTTATTTATCATTTCTCAACATGTGTGTCAATGTTTTCTGCAGGTATTATTCAAGGAAATCATATGAAACCCCAAAATTTCTTTTAATATAGTCTCAAGCAACAGAGACATACATGTTTTTAGGTGGAGAGAAACTTTGAGGCCATCTCGTTAAACTCTTTCTTCAACAGTCTCCTCAAGTTGAAAAGACTGAAACCCAGAGAAAATTAACTACTTCTGGGAATTTCATAGCCTCATGAGTGGCAGAGATGGTCAGAAATCGAGACCTCCTCAATCTGTGTACACTATTTAGTCCTGCCTTTCTGGTTTACTTGGATGAATTGCATTATACTTTATTCCTCTGTTTTATAGGATTATTCCACTGAAAGACTCAAGAAAACGAATGAAATAATGAAAGGCATCAAGCTTCTCAAGTTGTATGCCTGGGAACACATCTTCTGCAAAAG